GGCAACAAGGAGCGTGCGGGGTGTGTGGGTGTCCCCCCCCCTGCTCAGAGCCCAGGCAGGCGGCTGGGGCTTCGCGAGCAGCAGCAGAGCCGGGTGACCCCCCAGCACCCCTCCGTCCCCGCTCAGCCCCTCTCCGCTCCCCGTCGCCGGGCTCCCAGCGCCATCTAACGACACGGCGACCGGGGACAAGGACCTTCGCGGGGAAGCTGGACGCGTCCCAGTCCCGGGAGAGAGGGATGGGGAGCACCGGACGGAGCTGGGGTGGCAAGAGGCAGCAGGACAGGGACTGGGGCACGCAGGCAGCAGAGGAAGGGGCAGCTGGAGGGATTGAATAAGGATTTACACAATCATAGCGATCCTTCCTCCGCCCGCGAGGCTCAAACCTCCATCCCTGCCCTTCGCTGCCCTTGATCATCCCACGGCTTTCCCGCAGCCCAGCATTAACCCCAGGGCCTTGGCCAAGTTCTGGGTTGAGCAAGGATGCTAGGCTCCGCAAAGAAAGGTGCTCCCCTTCACCTGTTGTCACGGCCCAAAAACTACCCCGAGCACTGCCAGTGTGGGAAGAGCCCTTTGCCGTGCTCAGTGCAAGCACAGTGGCCTCTACCACGGCCACACGAGCACCCCGACATCCACATTCCAGGCGACGTGGAAGCAAAGCCCGGGTAAGAGCCAGCTCATCTCTTCCCGCTACCTGCAGATTTGAAGCAGCCACCACAACCCCTCCACCGTCACGTTTCTGGCTGGGCTGTCTCCCGAAACGGCTGCTCCCCGCGCGCAGCGCAACCCCCTCGCCTCCACACCCCCCTCTCCAAAGCGTTTATTCGCCTCCGAACCCAGGGCTGATGTAATCTCCCGCTCAGGAGTTCAGCATGAGGACTGCATCAGCCGCCAGACCTAACGAGAGCCACATCACACGAGCAGCTGCTCGACAAAAGCTTTATTGCTCGTTTGCGTACGAGTTCCCAGTATCACATTTCCTGAGTTTCTTAATGAGCTTGCAAATGAGATTTAAATAGAACAGGAAGGGGGTAAGAAAACAAAAAAAAGAGATAAGCCAGAGATCTTCGTTCCCTAAGGCTGGACCTCAGACGGGGTGGGAGCACAGTGCCCGGTGGGCAAGCCCTTGACCCCAGGAGAGGGCTCGGCGGTTGAGCCCTGGCTCGATTTACCCTCTGCCTCCATCACGGTGCCCGAGTTGTTTCTAACACCCAGCCACCAGCAAATGCCACCGCCAGCGTTTACACAGGTCGGCGCTACCACGGGGAGCCCCGC